AAATCACCATTGCACACATACTTGTATTGCTATATGTAATGAGGACCATTTCTTCACTCCTATTGGTTTTTAGTCGTTATTGATGCCCTAACCCTAAAAATAAGCCTAAACCTAAGCATTGCCAATGCATGCCTCTCTATCCTAACCCAACTGACACCTTAGCCTTAAAACTGTTAGCAAAACAGAACCAGCAAAACTTCCTCACTTTATAATGACCGCTCCTTAACATGATTGTGAAGTCAGAAAAATGGTCCTCACTCTGATCCCTGGACAGGAGCACACCCACCCACACTAACTTCTTTTCTCTTATTTTACACCAAATATCAGGTACTCTGCATCTGCAGACCACAAAACTCTGCTGGCCTATAAGATTCACACAAAAAAGATCCATAATGCCAAGAATAATTTTAGCTCTGTATAGAAATACAGAGCTAAAATTTATATTAGGAACAGTTTTATCATGGATTGCCTCATAGGCTATTAAACTCACTTAAAAGGTTACCAAAACTCCTTTTTTAAGTGCAATAAACCCAACCAAGTAATTTAGATAAAAAAAATAAGAAGAAGAAGAATTACATTTTAAAAAGTAAAGTAAATGTTGAATGGACTGAATTTATGTGGAGCCTATCTAATTATACTTACCACTCAAAATGCTTTCCATTATAGCCACATCAACACTAACATATTCTCTGACATGCACACTTTCATACATATATAAGCAGATACATGAGGCAACATGGGGGCTAAGTGCTTTGCCCAAAGGCACATTGAGAGGGGGGACTTTTGAAATGCAAAAAAGGTTGGCTTTACCCAACCAAGAACTACAGATAAATTTCAAACATAGTCTAATTCTAGGGCTGGATGCTATGGCCAAAGCATATATTTCTTATATTCTGGTCTATATATATAACTCTGATTATCATAGATATTAAAAATATAAAAGTATAAAACAAAACTGCCAAAAGGTCCGTAACAGATGCATTAGCCTCTGCCAACTGGAATTATTCTATCAAGCCTATAAAACTCCTCTAAAATAACATCTTCAGAAATAATATACAAAAAATATAAAAGAAAATACAATTAACTGTTTTTATTTAGAGCAACAAGCTTCACAAAAGAAATGCACAGTTAACCAGATGATCATCTCTCCCTCTTGATATTACTCAGTCCATAGGTTCTTGCCTCTTTCAGCTTCCCCGTTACTGTTTTATTATCATTTCATATGGCTAGCCCTTCCCACACGCTTGAGATTTTTATAATCTTGAAACTAAAATTATTATTTAATACTCTTCCAATTAGGGCTGCAACTAAGGATTAATTTGCAAATCGATTATTTCTATCGATAATTTTTTTTGATCAGACGATTAATAATAGGATAGCAAAAAGTTCATTAAAGAAGACTTTTTTACAAAATTAAACCAGGTGAAACTAACTGGTGTTCAGTGCAAACTGCAAGCTGGCAACACCACACTACACGAGGAAGTAGAAAAAAACGGCCATTTTTCAAAGCTGCCGTTCCATGCCATCCAAGAGTGATAAGTCATTTCTAGAGCCCTATAAAATCCATTTTACTTTTTCCCAAATTCCGATTTTTCCTTTTTCTGTATGTATTTTTGCGCTTCCAATCAATGGAATGTTGACAAAACTTGCAAAACAATAGTTCACCTGACACGTAAAAGTCACGAGGGAACTGCTCGGCTCTGTACTCGGGGCTTAGCGTCGTGTTTCTCAACTTTTTCTCCGAAAGCGGAGCTGTGGAGAGCCGCTTCACCATTTTTTCAATGTTTTGATGGGGGAGGGTGAGCGGAAATGACGGAGCGGGAGGGGTTGTGTCGCCCAGATTTGCGTCCCCCGGTGTGCATTTCCCCCCGATGTACATTCTTCTCCCAAACAAAAACAGTATTTCATTTCAAATGTAGAAATTCGGCGTTTACACTAGATTCCGCGTTAATTTGCCAATTCCGCGATTCAGTCCGCGATTCCGTGATCGCAGAAATTATAGGGCCCTACATTTCTTTCTACGATTTCTCCTATTTTTCTGTTGATGGTGGTGATATTTATGTGCAAAATCAGAAAGGTCTTCAGACGTTTACATTTTTGAATCCTCACCAGTAAGAGCTGTTACACGCTCGCCATGTTTTTCCATGTGGAGCTATCTGTATGGCTACAAATGTTTCTAGGTATGTGTTGCGAAAATGCTCTCCACATGGATGCTGTACAGAGGGCCATGGAAACCAAAAATTATCACAAATGGCTGGAAAGACCTCGCAGATACATCAAACTTAAAGCAATCATGTAGCTGTTTCTTTTAGACTTAAATGAACTGACCTAAACCTCAGTCAGTGACAAATACTGTAATCATAGACTATAATTCAGATCAAAATACTGGAAATGTGTTTAAAGTGATATCACTGTTACTAAATACATCCTATTGCAACATTTATTAATGAATTATGGAATAAAAAAAGTGCTTTGGAATATCAATACTTTCTTCTAAGCTTTGAATGCGTGGCATAAATTGCTTTAAATTAAAATAAAAAATTTGCAGACACAAAATGTACATAGCATTTCTGTAATTCATAATTAAGTCTGACATGGATGTTTGTGCAAACTATGAACACTAGATGGTGCTACTATTTGCTCCAACATCTCATCTGGGACCAGGCTGCTGGTCTTAAATAAAATTAAATATTAATGGAAGGTTGGAGATTCAAGATTTCAGGTATGTTTTTCATGTTTTAACAGATAAAATAACTAGTCTAACAGTACAAACAGAAATAAAGAAAAAAAAAAGATAAATTGTATATGATCATAATAATAGTCTTGGGACAAAATACAGCTATGAAACGATTTTGCAATCTGCACATGGTTAAAACAAAAAGGACTGACCAGGACTTCGGCTGCCCGAAGTGCAGATAGTTTATACTGTAGAGGTCCATGTCCTCGGTGTGCCAAGCGAAGGTGGTCTTCCACATGCCGAAGTACAGGTACGGCGTGTTGACTCCTTCGATGACGATACCGCACTCCTGCTCCACCATGTCCAACAGAGTGTTAAGGTGGCCAATGTTCCACTCTTGGATGTCCTGGACAATAAAGCATGTGTTTCAGAATAGGTGCATCTTAAAAGGTTCATAGTCCTTTTTCTTTTGCGTTTCTGAAATCAGATGTGTTTCTATCACATATCTGTGCTCATGCTAAAAGCTGTCAGAAATAGTTACCATTTTTTGAGCGTCAGTAAAATATCTTTTGTTAGTATCTTCCCTGCAGCCACCAGAAGTTTTATTGAGGTAAATTGGTAGAAAAATGGTCGTTAACAGATTTTTGTTATGAAGCCATTCAAAGTTTTAAATGTTTATCCCGTATCAAGCCAACATTTTATCAGCATATTGTCAACTCTCAGATGTTTAAATAATAGTTGTTAAGTTTACTGTGTTCCCAAGCAATACCAATGTTAGTATGAGAAGTTATGGTCTTCTTTTATTAATAGATCCATTATAGGTCCTATTTGCTGAGCTATTTGAACACTTTAGAGACAAAAATATCCCTCACCTCATCATAGATTGAGCCGCTGACATCAGCTCCATAAATGGGTGAAACAAAAGTCAGGTTCTTCCAGTACTTCCTCTCCAGGTCATCGAAGTCTTTGTGGCGTGGTGTGCAGTATCTGCAAAAACAAGAAGGCAAAGTTTTCAAAGACCGTTGTAGGTACCAGATTTGTCCGGGTGGTCGGATTTGCTCCGGTGCTGTGTATACCAGTGACGTTACACTCTACGATTGGCTGAACGTTGCCACGATGAACACTGTGGTTATAGGGACAACGGTAATAACATAATACAGTGTGTAGTGATCCATGTAGTTTTACTTGATCGATAACAAAACGGATGAGTCCAGGATCATTGCTAAAGGTCAAAAGAAAAATGAAATGACTAATTAAACAGTTTCTAAAAAAGATTTTTTTGTTTTTAAATGTAGTACAATACCCTAACATTCAGTAGTTTAGAAAAGTAAAATATGAGCAATTAGCGAGAGTTCATTCATATTGATATTTTTTTCTAAACCAAAAGGGGGAAAAAATTAATTTTAATGTGTTTATATTGTAGATCTTTTGTTATTTTATCAAAAATTTAAGGAGAGAACCAAGTTTTATGATTTCATAATTTATGTTATTCTCTTTTGAATTAATAATTTTAGTTAAAGGCAAGCTTCAACAAGGTTATTTGAGAAAATGTTAAATTTTCAAGACAAATTCACCTTTAGTGGACCGCCAAAAAAACATTTTAAAATTAAAATATAATTCTGTTTTAAATAATTATGATTTAAATATGGTTACAAAAAAAAAGGTATGACTTAAACAAGTACTCTTAACTTAAAATGCTCATACATAATTATCCAGGTCTCTCGTTTGCTGCAAGCAGCCTTTTAGCGAAACTGAAATTTTTTTGACAGCTATAAGCCACCAAAACTTAATTTTCTTCAATTGTTATGATTCTGTATTTCAGTTTAAAATCTAAAAAAATTGATCAAACTATTATTTCTTATCATTCAGATCAAATACTGATATCAAACAGGTCATTTGTTTTCAGTGTAAGCAGAGGAACCGTTTTAGAAATAAAAACGTTAATAGCTTTGGGCTTCACTCTACTTTAGTTTAAGATAAAGTATTAACCTTATGATGGATGATTGACAAAAACCTCATCAATAATTAGTAAATAAATAATAAAGTTGCTGATAGGTGAGGTATTTTCATGAGAGACAGATAAGAGGAAGATCTGTGTCGCTAAGTCTTTTTCATCACCTGATAATTTACAAATACATCAGAAAAGGAAACTCACTTCTTGCTGTTGGCTAGTTTGCGATATTCGCCAACAGTCATAGATTTCTTCTGAATGTTGTACTGGGTAAACAGTCCAGACTGGCCAGTTACCACCTGCATTATAGGTGCTGGAATCACCATGTCTTCAATGGCATCGTAGGACTTTCGAGGTTTCCAGCCCTCTGGAGGAATCACCTAAACATTGAAAAAGAGATTTAGCACTTACATGTAGATAATGGATACCCAGGTAACCTACATTATCCTTTGGGATAGAAATGTTTTACTAAAAAAATCTTACCCTAAGCTTTAATTAAGGGCAGAAAACTAAAAGAGTGATTGTGTGGAAAAGCATAACTTGGTGAGTGCATATTTTATGGATCCATTACCTTTGCCAGGCCTGCACGATGAGCCCCTTGACTCTCCATGTAGACAATGTATTGGGCAAAGTCTTTAAACTCCTCCATAGTAGGCCTGAAAGTCATGATCTTGCAGCTGGGGTTCTTGGCAGCAGCTGGTGGCAACGGTGGTGGAACTGGTCCTACTTGTGGATTTATAGGTGGCTCAAAACCTGGAACAGGTTTTAAAGCCCCATCCTGGTCTACAGGCAGAACTGGAGCAGTATCTTGATCTGAGGTCACTGGGTCACTGGTTGTTTGAGGTACTGGCTCTCGCATGGGAACCTGATCTTGGGCTGGGCTGGAGCCGAGAGCAGGAAAGGAGACTGGGCCAGGATCAGGGGGTGCAGTAGGGGGTGCAGCAGGTGCTGGGTTAGGAGCCGACATGCTGTCGGTGGACTTGTCGGGATCAATCAGATTCATGAAGGATTGCAGGAAAATCTGTTGGCTGCAGAAAAACAAAAACAAACAACATTTAAGTAAACTTCACAGTTAGGTGTGGTCCCAATCAATCAGTATATTAAATATCAAATTCCACCTTCCAAAACAAACAGAGTAATTATTTTCTGTGTAGGACCAAGTGACATTCAAGAAAAAACATTTTTGCATTCTTAATAGCATCTGAGATACATTTGGTCTGCAATGAGTTTGCAACGCCTATCAGGCATAAAAACAATATACAATTAAAGAGTCTTAGCGTAAAATGCCATTTTAAGGAAGTAAATGTGCAATATGGAAGTATCAGGCCTAGATGGAGTTAATGCTGTTGATTAGCCAATCAACCACATCTTCAATAACCAGCTATAAAGTACTTGACTATCAACTATTGTTAGCTGAAATGACCTACTTTAACTCAAAGGTGATAAGAAATAAATGTAAAGCTCAGCTGTTAACCTAAGGCAGAAATAACTTTACACTTGTGTTACAGTTGGTGCTTTTGTTCAGTTTTTTTTTTTTGTTACCCTTAAAAAAGACTTTTTCACACTCTTCAATGGTGTACCCATTAAGTTAATCAGTCAAAGGACTACTGCATATATGTTTGTGATTTTTTCAGCATCTTAGAAAAAAATTTATTAAATGCATTTTAATTCTATGAGGTTTGTTTCCATAAAAATATTACAGATCCTCAGAGCCATAAGAGCAAATATTTCATGTAATTCAGAATCATTTTTTAACAAGAAACCTTAAAAAAAAAACTGAAGAGGATGGTGCCCATCAAATTAAGGGATGCACAGATCCAAATTTTCAATTTTCAGTCTAACATCTATGCTTGGATATCTATAGATCTGAGATGTTTCCGAAACCAGAGCTCTGTTTCCTCATCATTACTGTTAATTATTTTAGCAAGTTTTATATGTAGGGAAATACACGTGTATATCAAAAAAAGCCACTTGAGATTAGCATAAGGTCAGAAAAAGGAACTTATAAAAACAATAAATCGTTTTAATAGGACAAATTCCATAATGGCAACAAACGTGCAACTGTAAAGGTTTAAACCTGCAGTATTTATTAAATCCAAGGCAAATGACCATAAAGTGGTAAACTTTCCTGCTGTTCTAAAAGATCTTTAACCCAACTTTAAATTATTAGACTGAACAGATCTGCCACTAGTGATCAGGATCACTACATATATCAGATCTCTACATTTTTGACTTTTTTAAGAGCAATTACACAAACTGTTCTAAATCGTGAAATTCTAAGACTAAATTACAACAACCCATTATCAGAAAACAACTTTATAAGCATTTCGAATGTTTTTCTCGATTAAATTGCCATTGTATGTATTCCAAAACTGCATCTTTCCCAATGTAACACCATGTAGCTCAAGTATTACGGTAGTCAGTGAAAGCCAGAACGAGGGAAGCACTTGTTGAAGTGGTGAACATGCGCCACAAACAGGTTAATGGAAGAATAAAGAACCTGTGGAAATCTTGGATTTGTATATTGCTATTTAACTAGATGAAAACACCTCAGGATCTATCATGGGTTTATTTATAGTTGGCAAAGTTTGCAGTGTAAATACATCTTTCATGGCTCAACAAATGTTACTTAAGGACATAAAAGTTCTGGTTGGTCCTAAAGTCCCAGAGCAGTTCAACAAATATTGGTATAGAACAAAGTCTCGTTTAGCTTCTATTATGTGGTGCACAAATTAAGATGTCACACTTGTAAAGAAAAAAAAAAATTATTGAACACAGCTTTTCAGTTATTTTTACACAAAATACCACAAAGCGTCACATTGAAACATGAGAAAAGAGACTTCCTGCTTAAAGTTCATGCAAAAGGTGTTACGACTTGGGATTTATATAAAAATAAATAAATATCTAATGAGGTTTCGAGCAGCTGAACAGATATTAAAATGTAGATAAAAATTATACTATACTTAACAGTGAACAAACGCACTGAACAAATGGCAACTTTCTAACATTACCTTTCACAAATAAAACCATCGTTTTATAACACAATGTTTTTTGTTTTTCCATAAATAGGTCAGCTCCTTTTCCCTAACTGACAGCGATTCAAAGGTTGAAAGAATCGCTGCTTTCCCAAAAAAAAAAAAACACAACATAAAGGGGCCTTATGGTCCCTTTAACTCCATCTAGGCCCGATACTTCCATATTGCACCTTTACTTCCTTAAACGGCATTTTACGCAAATACTCTTTAAATGTATGTTTTTATGCTTTATAGACGTTGCAAGCTCGATGCAAACCAAAAATATCACGGGCTTGGTGCAGAAAGAATTCATTACACTACTGTTGCTGCTAGCGGCAGAGGTAGCTGTGTTCAGTTGACATTACTAGCATTTTATACAATATAACGGCAGATAAAATCCCGCCGCACATAGCGATTGCGATTACCAAAAATGAATATCTGATCAAATACATACAATGTTTAGTCTGTTTAGGTGTGTGATTGCTTCGAGACCAACCCTGGTTGGATTATTTACAGCTGTAATGGAAGTAGCTAGCTTCTGGCTAACCATATCTGCAGTTGCGGAAAAAAAACAAACAAAACGTCGCGACGACAGAAAGCACGGTACAATTAAAGAATTAAACATATATGCTTTCCTATAGTCAAAATAGTTTCTGACACATTACCTCCTGCAGCAGATTAACGGCCTCGCTTTACTTTGCTGAAACGAATTGGTTTCGTTTTGGTTTATCGATTTTCTTTTAGCATTAGCAAGTAGCTGTCTGAGATCCGTTTGTGGGTTTAGGCCCCCACTTTAGTCGTTGGCGATTGGCTGAAAGGGGTTAAGGTGGGTGTTTCCTACTGAAATCTCATTGGTTTATCGGATGATTGACAGACAACGCAGCAAATCAGATCTCACACCTACTGCCTTCATCATCATACGCCCGTAGCCTACCAACCAGATACAAAGCACGTACGCACACTTTTAAGCGATGTTCTGCAGTCATTAAAAACACTTACGCAAACAAACCATTTTCGATATTGCTCCTCAAAGGTAAAAAGCCTTTCCAGGACCATGTATTATATCCCATTCTGCGTTAATCATGAGTGTAAAAATATTCATGACACATAGTGTATGAAATTAAATAACACATCAAGACAAAATGTTCTGTCGACTAATCAACACATAAAAATTAAAGCCAATGAAATATTTTCAAAGTATTTTATTGAACAATGACACATTTTGCACGAAACGTGTGCAGTGAATGCTAAAACTACGAACGTAATCTAAAAACTGTCTAAAACATTTTTTACAATTTCAGAAAGAAAAAAAAAAAGTTCCCAGCATTTGCAATTATTTTGGTTAAATGTTTACATTAAGGATAATCTGCACATTGACCAAACAGAAACTGTAACTGATAAAGGCAAATGTTAACGTCAGCATTAAAGACATGCATTTTCTCAATTTTAAAATGCAAACACTTCCTGTTTCAAGAGGAGTCAATTATAAAAGATGACAACTGGGAAGACAATTGACAGAGCCTTCTAATTTAACAACAGCAACAGATTGTAAGGCATAAAAAAGGTGTACATTTTAGCTTTATAAAAATAAAAATTTAGTCTCTAGGCTGGATTAGGTATGAGTGTTAAGGACAAGGTCTAGAGAGCTAAATAGATGGGACCTACTTTACACTCTTGGTTAAGTATAATCATATCTTTGGACTATTTTAAGGTGGATCACAAAAAGGGTAATCTAGAAAAAATATCATTCAGACAAAAAAAAAAACACTTTGTTTTAAGTGTAATCGGTTTCTGCAGTTTAACCTAAGAATACAAAAAGTTCTGTCAATGTTTGGGTGAACAGAAATATTGATATTTGATGACAACTTCTCTCCCATTTCTCAAGTGCATTAAGAAAACGGTTTTACTAACATTTCATGGAGCCACTAGAGACCTAACCTCTTTGTTTATCCATCACTTTAGTGCATTTTTATATGAAATTAATGTTAGGACTCAAGAAAATCCATAAAATAAATGTTTGAGTTTTCTTTTTTCTTTTTTTTTTATAAAAGTCCAATAAGAATTACCGACCACAAGCAGTTGAATGATAAAAAAAACCTTATACAAATCAAAAATCTTACAATAGGAGATTAGGATCTTTAGAAATATTTGGGGGGGTTGATAAACTCTTCAATGAACGTCAAAAACAGAGGAATTACTGGCAAAAAAGGCTAAATTTAAATTAGGAATATAGCAGTAGTTAAAATATAAAGGGTTAATCCAGAATGCCATTGAAAAAAAAAGGTAATTATATGGACAGTTCTAGAAAAAGATTCTCAATGAATGTTAGGTGGGCATGGGAGCTCAACAGTAATAATGGTTGTATTTTACCCACAAAAACTGTAGCTTTATATTCATAGAAAATATATTAAAGGAAGCTGAATCTTTATTGCCTCAACTGGTAGTTCCCGTTACAGGTTTCATTGCTTTTTTTTTTGAGGGCTGAGTAGACGGGAGTGATGATCATCGCCCGTTGCTGTAGCCAGGGAAAAGCTGACTTAGAATGTCCTGCAGAGCTTGGTTGACAGACATGGAGTAGTTCTTGCCCAGGTCATGTCTGCAGGCTGGGCAGGTGTAAACCTCCGCCTTGAAGGACCGTTGGAGGCATTCCTATGGTGAAAAAAAACATATACACACTTTAAGCATTTTATACAGACTACTGCCAGTGCATCTTCCATTGTTTCCTTGGTTGAAGCCATCCATGTGTTCACATATGACGTGCATAGATTAGAATATAAATCTATAAAACGTAGTGTACACAATTTGGCGTTTCAAAAAAATTATAATAAATGTGCCCCAGAGAGTAGATACTCTGAAGCTTTAAAAAATAAACCCTGTGCTCCAAATAAACCACTGTGGCCGTATGCTTTTTTCCCACCAACATTGAAGGTTGCAGTACTCTGCAGATGTATCCATAACCCTTTGATCAGGCAAATCCCAAAGACAATCTGTTGCAATGGATTTTATCTAAGAACACACACATTCTTCAGATTTCCTTTCATTTAAAAAAATAAAATAAACTGAAAACTATGCATCATATTCCTTTCATGTTAAAGTTAAGCATCACTTTATGTTAGAGATATAATCCCAAACAAACGCACAAATTTCTGCAATTGCAAAAAATTATTATGACTTTACTTCTGTTCAAAGAGGCAAATGAGAAGAGATCCAGCCCGAATAGGTGGTGCGGTAAAAAAAAAAAAGGAGGCTTCTGATAAGTCAGACTAGAGATGCTACATACTAGATAATTTTCAGCTGTGCCACTTAGAATGATTGTTAAAGATTTCCGGTTTCCTACCTTGCAGACATTGTGTTGGCACTCTGTTGTCACAGGCTGATAGACCACTTCTTGGCAGCAAATGCAAAGGAAAACCTCTTCAACCTTGCTCAGAAATTTCTGTAGAAATAAAAACATTAAGATGTTAGAATACGATGAATATATTTATTTACAAGCCAAGTCTATAAACCTACATTAAAGTTGTACCTTCCGAACTGAATGGTTTGGTTTTATAGGATCAGCAAGATACAATTTAATAATCTAAATAAGTCCACTAAGCTTAAGAGACAGATGGCAGGTAAGTAAGCTGGTCCCCAAATGTCAGATTGTTGAAGAAATAAGAAATATCCTAACTCATTGATGGGTTCTCAAAGGCAGTAAAATAAAGAGATATTCCAAGGGAATATATTTGCAAAACAAACAAACAGAAAACATCAACATAATTGAACTGAACGGAATAAAATACCCACCAACTACCTAGTTGACTACCTGGCTATTTAATATAAAAGCATGGAGCAATTTGAAGCTGTTTCAACATAAAACAATCAGGAGGGGAAAAAAGATCTGATCTTCAAGATGTTTTTTGCTGTCAACCTAATGTGCATTTTGTTTCCTAATGTCATCTAACCTTGAGTCTATGTTGTAGACACCATTATTTCTGTGATCATATCAAAATTAAACATTAAATAAGACTTATGTGAACAGTTTATGCATTTATCACCAAGTTTGTCCCATAATCCCTTAAAACCACTGTCTATATTTATAGTAGTAGCCATTAAAAGTTTCCCCACTTTCCTTGATGTGTCCTTGGCTGGTCCCCTATAATTCCTGTTTAAATATCAATCTTTGTACTAAAATATTCTGTCATGATTTCTGGAAATTAAGATCTAAAGAGAAGAGTCATCTCCTGGTCAGACCCTGTAATTCAATGAAAGGGTGGAGTCACAGTGAAACATAAAATATGCACGCCCAGGAGAAGCTGGCTGGAAGTTGGCTGCCATTCACCCAACATTTGACAGGGAAGGTTAATTTTCAATGGTTACTACTGTATTGCCAGAATACTTAATAAAACAAAAAACCAAACAAATGCTTTAATTTCTCATCATCTTATAAAACAGATTTCAGAAAAGGGAAATTTCTTTAATCCCATCTTTGCACATCATCAAGTTATGTTCATTAACAAAAACAAACAGAAGCCACAGGGTAAGATTCTAATATCTAAAAGCAAATTCATCTTCATAATTTTGAAGCCCATTGCTTCATATTTTTTATTTTTTGAGTTTATAATGCTAATCCTGAACTTTAAAAAATGACCATCGGGCTCTGTGAAAACACCTGATGAAAGCAGCTCCCAGAAAAACCAAGAACTAGCGCTAACAAAGCACCACCACCAGTTCAGTCCACACTACAGGCATCATATTACAGTGCAGGAAATGCTTTTAAAGATTTGCCTTACAAAATGCCTATGTAAATGTGCAGAGATAAAACCATGGGTATTTAAAACTAGCATCTTTACCGGTCCAAGAGACAGTGACTCCATTGCTTCATCCCACAGCTTCTTGTTAGGCTGGTCTTTCTTAATGAGGGATTTCTGCTCCTGTGAAAGTTTATATGCTTCCACTTTGATCTTCTTGGGAGATTTGGCAGGTGAGGTCTTAGATTCTAGAACAAAAAAGAACAGAAATTCACATTTATTGTTTCCATTTTCCATTCACTTTAATACACCGATATAAAAATTGGAACCCAGAGAATAACAGTGGTCATTAAAACAAGTAATTTTCTATCTACGAAGTGTAGACATAAAAAACAAAACACAGAAACAAACAAAAAATATTAACTATTTAACAAGTTAAAGCCATAAAGAACATACCGCTGCCCTGAGATTTCCTCTTCCTCTTTGCCTTGCTGGGTGTCGCTTCCTCCTCTACTTCGTTTTTGTTCTCCTTTTCCTTTTGATAACCAGCAGGATACTGCAACAGCAACCACCACAACCAGTTAGCAAAACACATGCCATGAAAATGAGAATCAAAGGTTTGGATGGCATCTTCTTGACACAATATGCCGAATGGTCTTCAGCTTCTCACCTGCATGACAAGACCCAGTTTCTTGACACGCTCCTTCCCGTCCCGGGTCCACGGGGCTGGCTCTTCATCGTCCCGCTTCAACAGGTAGCGCCACACCAAGAAGCCGGACTTGCCTTTGTCGGGCCAGTACTTCACCACCTGAGCAAATGGGAAGATGCAGAGGAAAAACAAACAAAATAAAACAATTAAACCGATGCTCAAAGTTAACCGTTAGACCCCCCCTCTCTGGGCCCTCTCCTCGTACCTTGTAAATCCCGTCATACCGGTTTCCTTCCTCAGGGCAGTACTTGCTGTGTTTGCGCCCCTTGCAGTTGCGCACCACTCTGACAGGTTTTCCTTGTTTCCAGTTCTTAGATTCTGCACCGTTTTTGTCATTAACAGGAACATTGCAATTGAGAGCCAAAGCCCTGACACCCAAAAAAAAAAAAAAAAAAAGAAAAGAAAAGAAATAGAAATGTAAGCCACTACATGTGCTGTTGTGAATTACTGCTTCCCTTCTGAATGCCCTACCGGTTCATGTGGGTCAGGGTCTGGTCACATGATTGCTCAGCTGTCCTCTTGTTCCCAGACAGATCTCGCCCTCCTGAGCCGGTATAGGTGAACTCGTTGCCATCATCCTTTGATCAGAAGATAGCAGCAATGTTTTATTTAAACACATCAAGAAAATATCTCAGTGATGAAAAAAAATAAAAAAAAAATCATAGAACTAAATTCTCTCTTCAAAATTATCCACTTTTTTGCAGATATTAATACAAATAAAACACTGTACTGTTAGAAATAAAGAAAAAATGCCTACCACATCATCTTCGTAGCCTCCTGCTAAAACCAGGGAGTAGGCTCCATCATTGCTCCTCCCATGGATCCCAGCAACATGAGGCCTGTGAACACCAGATTCACTCACCTGGGGGAAAAGAATTACATTTTTAGCTTATGTTGTAAACATCACTGTTATATACCTTTGTATTTCTATACATATAATTGTTAAACAATTATATGTATATTGCTTTTAACTCGAGAGGATTTCCTTCACAATTCAAGGACAGTGTTAGCTTTCGGTTTGAAGTAGCAGAACTAGACAAACCTGCACTCTGAACTTCCAGAGGGAACCAACAGGAACACCTGGAATCGGACCATAGTGGTTGGATGGGACAATGGTGCACTGCTTGGTTCGACCCACACAAGCCATTCCCTACACAGATAGAGAGCACTCCTTTAGGTCCCATGAAACAATCATCCTGTTTGCTCTCATTAGATGAGCATTCAGTGTAAAATCACCTTTCCCCAGTCTCTCTGGCTAGACGAGCTTGCGGAAGCCATCTTCGCCTTCTTCTTGCTTTCCTTTAGCTTTTCTCCAGCCAGAACAACCTCACTGCTGTCGTTACGGCAACCGGGACAATACCTGAAACCGCAAAAACATGTCAAAGTTAAAGCCAACAAACC